ACAATCTCCGTTCCATCAAACCGAAATCGAACTCGAAGTTTGTGCGCAACTCTTGGCAGATCTCCATCCCACGTAATCTCCAGCATATTTAAACTGTCCAAGTACACTTTTAGACGTGGTAAAACACCAACAGAGATAGCCTGTTCGGTAAATCCAGCCTCGGAATATGCGAGACAGTGCAACTGACCGCTCTCAAAATGACTGATTTCTTGGAACGTCACATACTGCCCATTAGACAAATACTCAATGCTCGGTCCACGCCACTGAACTGACGGCATCGGATTGCCGAGTGCACCACATTTCAAAGCATACAGTTGATCCTCGAAAACACTAGTGGTCATCGAGAGGTACACAATCCTGGGAGCACATTTGTCCGGAAGTACAAGGGTAGTAAAGTTCAATTTTCGTGCTACTTTTCCGCTGGCATCACTCATGCAAGTCGTTCGTTCTTCATCTTGCACAATGCCCTGCAGCCATTTCAAATTACAGTCGCAAATCAAAGGGTTACCGTACAACGTGATCTGTTGCAAGGACGGAATCTGAGCGCTGAGATTGTGTAAACCAGTCAGATTGCTTTTGTGCAGATGCATCACTGAGAGTGTTGAAAGTGACCGGAAGGCGTCAAAATCGATATACGATAGATGCGAATTATCATTAAGATGAATATGTTGCAACTTCGGAAGATTGCGAAAGGCATTCTTGTTGAGTGTCGTTAGTTCTGTATCTGAAATTGCAACTTTTTAAGTAAAAATGCTTCAATCCAGAAGTACAGTTATTTTGGCTAGAGCAGTCCTTGAGGAAGCACTGGCAACCTTATTGGTTAACTGATGGTCATCGGGTCATATCTGTTTGCAGAGAGTAAAAATTACAGAAGAGTGCCGAAACTGTACTATTTTTTAATACTCCAATTTTTCCAAAAATCACTGGTTTTTTTTGTGGATGTAAAAACTTAAAATTGCTGGAAATTAATTTTGAGAAATTTCAAAATTACAGATTAACATAAAACTACTTTTCAAATGTAGTAATTCGTAGTTTTAAAATTCGCCCCTGCTTGCTTACTGCAGAGCAAGGGCGAAGGTATTCGTTTGTTCGACAAGTTACAGCTCTTTAATCAAATATCATTGCCCAGCAAGTTTTCCCAGACTGGCTTTTTGATGATTCCCGGGAGGCAGTGAGCTGACACACAAAAAAAGGGAAGAGTCGTAAGTAAACATGAAAAAGAAATTTCGCAAAAAGTGCCGCAGTAGTCGATGTTCTGAATTTTTCAAGAGGGAGCACTGATATTTTACGAAAGAGTTTTCCCGGCATTAGAAATAATAACGATAGTAGTAGTAATAACAGTAATAATAGTAACAACGATAATAATAGCAGTAATAATAATGAGAATAATAACAACAGCAATAACACAATAATAATCTTAACAGTAGCAATAACAATTACGACATTAAAACCTATTTTGTTTATACATTACAAACTTATGCCAGCACTGATTCCGTGCTGAACGTTGAGAGTTCGATTTCGCTAGCTGGGAAAGAATAAATCTTACTGCGATTTCGATTGATCCCCACTTTTAACAGGAAGCGAATAGAGAAGGGCTTTGGGTAACAGAGACCAATTATATTATTAAAATTCAACTTACTGTACTAATACATAACAAGTAATATGCATTTTTTAAAGATAATGACTAATTGTTTGAAATTAATTAACTAAATTGGTTATCAATAATAATAATGGCTGCCATCACATTATTATTATTCTTATTCTTATTATTATTATTATTATTATTAATATTATTATTATTATTATTATTATTATTA